GGGGGTGGGGGTGGGGGGAGTTGTAAGGGGAGAGGGATTGGGAAGGAAAGGAGAGGAAAAGCCTGCAATGATCCTATAGAGTAGGTGCACGTTACGTCATAGCCGCCATCTTGGCTGACGATAACAAAGCGTTCCTCATTAGCTTCTCTTGCTGGATCAACCAAGATGGCGGCTGCTTCATTGTTATTCATATCTCTAGGGATTCTAAGTTACATGGTTGCACAAACTCTATAGAGCATGTGCAAGTTACGTCATAGCCGCCATCTTGGCTGACGATAACAAAGCATTTCTCATTAAGCTTCTCTTGTTAGATCAACCAAGATGGCGGCTGCTTCATTGTTATTCATAACTCTAGGGATTTTTATTCACAAGGCCGCACACACTCTATTGTGTCAGCGTTTTTCTTCTATTCGTACTCCTGGAGTTCCGAAAATCCCTATCAAAGTGATAATTTAAAAAAAAAAAACTTAACAAATACAGCCAAAAATATATAAGACAATTTTCTTTCAAAAGACATCTTTTCTTCGAGTAGCGCAATTTAAAAAAAATTCGGAAGTTAAATTTCTTCAGGTTGGTTTACTTCAGCATCCTTTCTTTTATATTCCATTTATAAACAATTTTATAAATGATCTTAAATAAAGAATTTTTTTAAAAAAAGAACTCTTTTTCCTAAACATTACATTTTATAATCGTAAAATGAGTTGCGAAATAATATGAATAAATTTCAAAGGAATAAAAAAATTATTAACTGGTAATTATTCTTTAGCACCACTTAATTATGCTCAATCGTTTTATATATTTAGAGAATTTGAGTAAAATAATTATCCTAAATCAATCCTTCTTAATGAAATATCTGGATTTTAAAAAGCAGAAATTTTATGAAGCAGAAAAGTAGCGACATACACCAGCCCTTTAGAGTATTAAAGTAAACTCTAAGCGGCTAGCTTCAAAAGCAATTGTCAACAATGAAATACCACACAAGACAGATTTTCATATTTGAAGTAAGCAAAGTCTATTAGAATATGAAATTTAACCAGAATTTTTTCTCGTTTCGCTTTGAATTGAGGAAGTTAGGGAATATATTTTTAACTGCCGAGCTTTTGCAGTGATTCAGTTTTGCTTAGTTTCGTCGTAATGCTTAAACCATGATTGCGGAATGTATGTAACAATGAACCCACTTGATTTATAACTTATGAATTCAAGAAGTCCATCGCTAAGGAATAGAAATATAAATTCCATGGTTTACTTACTATTTGTATTCGTGTCCTTTACGAACCACAAGAGTGTAGCACATCTCTACGAGAAGGCATAAAATCCCTATCATAAGCCACCAGTAACTCATTGCCTGTTTACAATGAGCAAGCACCCAAACGCATAGAAAGCCATGAATAAAGAATATTACACGAGTAAGTACAGCATAAAATATCGGTAAAAGATCCACTATTCGTCTCATCCACGCAGAAGCCTTCATCTTGGTAGAAAACAAGAGAATAATTCGTCTAATCAATCTTTATTGATTGCTTCTTGGCTTATAACAAGTCGCTCCGGTCTAATCGAGTCCCATAGGAATTCACCTAATTAACTTGCGTGATTTCTAATTGTTTTTTGATTGGTTGCTAGGAGATGTATAACACCTTTTGTTGACCTTGTGACGCATCGGGGACTTTTGTTTGTGCACAATTAAGGAATGTGTCCCTTTGTATAATTTGAACTGCAGAAAATATTTAAGAGTTTTTCAAGCCAAGTTTTTAACCCCCAAAAATGGCTATACAGACACTAGATTGCCCTTTGAAGTGTATTTTCGTGTCTCAATTGATAATAAAAATCGATATTTTTTTTGTGTTACTTTTTGTTGTATTTTCTTTTATGTTTTGCTTACCGTTTCGACCTTTTTATTCCTTTAATTTACTTTCTCTCCTTTTACTTCTTTTTTTCTTGTTTCTTCTGTTCACTTTTCCTTCCTTCCTCCTTTTTTTTTCTTTTCGTTTTTTCTTTATTTTTATGCAGTGACCCTCCACGTCTTTTGCTCCATTTATCAAAGCAAACTTTAGAATTTAGAGAAGATATTGTACGGAAAACAAACCCTATACACCTACATTGGTTCTGAATTAAAATATAGGATAGTACGTCATTGGTGAACAAAAATAATGTCTCGTACAATTACAAAGTACTTATAGGCTATTTCATTGCGTTGTTTCCCTGATTTACTATCGAGGAATTCACTATCATTTGCTATGCTTTCCTATCTTAGATGCATATTTAAAAAAACTAGACCCTGGTTCCAGGGTAAGCTGGGATACCTGGAGGACCTGGAGGACCTGGAGGACCTGGAGGACCTGGAGGACCTGGAGGACCTGGTTTCAACATGCATGGAGTATCTGGTAAACCACAGTTATCCCAGTAAAAAAGACGCTAGGACGGGTGCGGGGTCGTGGGGAGTGGAGGGATGATGGGGTCTTAACCTGGCATTTTTTGCCAGAGGTAGAGTGTGTGTAGACTGTTTGTTTTAAACCATAAGATCACTAGAACTACAACAAATTTATTCACAGGATCGGAAGTTAGGTATTACTTCTAGATGAAATATGGGTCTGTGCAGAAATGCTGTTGTTTTGACATGGATCCAAAGAATAATAAAGTGAATATATTTTTTTATTAAAGCTTCAAAGAGCACAAAGTAGTGAAAATCATTTTGGATAAAAAGTGTATGCCAAAAATTAAAGGTATGGATAAAAATCAGTCCAAATTCCAGTTCCGTCATGTCCATTACATTCCTATTTTTAGCATACGTAATTCAAGAGGCAGTCTCTGTAAAAGCGGCCCACTGCTTCTCGGGTCAGAAAATAGTTTTCCCTCAAACTTTTACCATAGAAAGGTAATTACAAGTAAGTAATGAAAATGACTTTATTTTCTCGAAATTCATCAAAATGATTTTTTTACAGCGCATAAATCCTGGACCACCGTTATCGCTAAATTTGCATTTATTATCAATTGAAAATTGCCCGTATTTAAGTCGTCACTGCTCGCAAAATATTAAACGCTGGAACAAACTATTATTTTTCCTGACTTTCACATTCATTCTAGTGTCAAAAATAAGCAAAATTTTGAATGTTAAGTAAAAGGGAAAAAAGGAGAAAAATAAGTATTCATACCCATTTGACGGCTTTTTGAAATCAAGACAAACCCCCCCTCACTAAAAAGCTTTTTTCTCCCAAGTCCAGAACGGGTTACTTAAGTTTTTTACTTCAATCTACTGATCAAAGGTTGATAAAAGTGGATTCATAAAAAAATTTTGCGCTTTTTACGTATCTTCTTCACAGCAACCTCGGACTTT